CCTATAGAGGCGGCTCTTGCCATAGATATATATGTTGGCTCTCGCACTGTATAAGGACAACGGACTGTTCTCAGCCGCTTCAGCTCTGACGCAACCCGGAAAAACTATCGGCATGGATTTTTGCCGATAACCGATAGTTCCGGGAATCAACTATCGGTGCCGATTAATCGGCAAAACCGATACATCAGTCGACCTCTAATTCCAAGGTACCACTGTATATACAATTGTAATGCTCTGAGACTCTTGTATGCCAGAGTTGGTGTTTTCTTACCAAAGAATACTTTTCATATTTTTGGAATACAATTTATCTTTTACTTTATTTTGGTGGAATCTCCCTTGTTTAACAGAACCTCCCAAAAAATCGGTATCTGGGTGTTTTTAAAATCAGTATCAGCCAGCAATTTCCTTATCAGTGCATCACTACTTTTATGGTTTTGTTTTAGATGCCATTCCTGTAGAAATCTGCTTATGTGAACTTACACACAAATACCTGATTCTTGATCTTAATCTATGTGGATTTAAACATTTTTATATCTGTCAATTAAAGGTTGTATTCCTAATTATGACATGATTGTTACTTTTATATTGATTGTCTTCTGAAGAAGCATATCAACTAGGGCTGTCTTAATTGCATTAATAATTGAGTAATCTACCAATTTTAATCTAATGATTTATTGAGTAATCATTTATAATAGACATTCATCGCATTTGGTGCTTAGCAGGAACCAACCAACCATTGCAGGGTCACACATTTGTATTTCTTTGTTGCAATACATTTGCTGTCTCCTGGTCTGGTGGAATGTCACTGCTAAATGCATGTACTGACTGCGACCATCCACAGTCAAATGTAGTATGAATTCAAGCTGCAGAGTGGAAGATGCTCAGCCAAAAAGTGCATGTAGAAAAGTTTAGTATGAATTAGGTTATACACACACAAAGCAGCGGTGTGCAGGAACAGTGCTACCCACTGCACTCCTAACAGGCTTATTCAATGTTGACATTGCATTTCATGTACATGCAATTATGTCGCAAGGACCACAATAGTGTACTGGGTTCAAAACAATATATTACGCTAAAACATTTTTGGTCAGTCAAAGGAAAGAAAATTTAGCAAGCTTTGGAATTCTAATAATGGTTCCTTTTCATAATTATCTAGTATTATCTAGTATTTTTTATTTAAAAAATTAGCTCTCCATGTTCTTCCTCAATCAATCATTCTATTCATTCTAGCTGTTTGGCTCAGACATTGGCCGTGTGGTGGTCATGAGATATTAAACAAAAATTAGCGAAGAGGCGAAAAACAAACTGATCATGAAAAGAAATTAGTCTTCCACTGTATGGAAATATTTTCTATTTCACAGAAGCAGTATTGAGCAAAGCAAGTGATTGCCGGCACTGCTTTGTGTCTGCTGGCACAACTAATGGCATACCACCAACTTATTTGACGTACTTTGTTAGATAAGATCTGTTTGGCTATATAATTTTCAACTCTTAAACGTTGCAAAAACGTCAAATATCCCTCAGCCCTACACAGAACGCACAATATTTTCACAAAAAAATCTATATTATATGGTTAATATGTACTATGTTATCTCAGATGATGTGGTTAAATGATAAGGTTACCATTTATTTTTGCAGCAATTAATATTTTGATACAGAGGAATTGTAAAAGTAAATTAAGCAAACTGGGGGGGCACCGATATTGAGGGTGATGGGACCTGAAGTACAGGATCCCATCTTCACCACTTGGGGTCTGTCTATGAGAAGATCTAGGACAGGGGTGGTCAATCTTATCCGCAAAGGGCTGGTGTGTATGCGGGTTTTCGCTGCAACTCTCTAATTGGATTACTAATTAGAGGACTGATTGGCTGAAGAGTCCTCATATCTGGGTTTGAACAGCTGACCAACAGGTTATTCCAAAAACCTGCATACACACCCGGCCCTTTGTGGATAAGATTGGCCACCCCTGACCTAGGACCTTATCACAGAGGGGTGCATTCAGGCCCAGGTTCCTGAAATTAGAGAAGAGTAGTAAACAGTAAAAGTTGTAGGGCTGCTGCGATTAGTCGATGTCAGCGCTGAAAATGGGTCAACATCAATATTTTAAATCGACGCATAGTTTCTTTTAAGAAAACTACCTTTATGATTTCTAAAACACTTCAATTCATTATAATAAATGTTCTGCTTTAATATCACCACATAACTATGGGAATAGTTCAAATTATCACGAAACAAAATGGTGGTTTTACACTGCAAAGTGCAATGGTATACCATGGTGGTACTAGCACAATGCTAGTAGAAGAGAACACACAGGCGTTATTCTAAACCACCAGAATACGCAAAACCACCATTTTGTCTATTCATGTTTATTAAATTTCCAGTAGTATGGAGAGCTTTTTAATATCTTTTGTTCTTGTAGCTGCTAAATACACTCATCATTAAAGCCATAAAATTGAATCTCCATTGAGAGTATGTTCACACTTGGGAAACCGAAAAGCACAATGCGTTGTACTGTGTTTTTTCATGTTTTCGCATGCATTTTCATCTAAAGTTTGTCCACATTCTTGTTTGCCTTTATACGTTTTTAATGTTGTGTTGTATTATCTGTTTAAGATAAGATAATCTTTATTGTCATTGTCACTTGATAATGAATTTGCGAAAGTGCACACGACTCAATGTGAGGCATGAGTATGATTTATGATTGTCCCTAGTGTTTGTGGGTAAAAAGAGGTAGTAAAAACACTTTGGAATGTGTTTGTATCCATTTTTCATTGTCATCAATGTAAGCGCAGAGAAATGTGTGCAAAAGTGCATTTTCAAAATGGAAAGGGTGATACACAATCGAGAGATATTCCAAGCAAGGGGAACAGGAGTGAAAGATGTATGTAACATTCTTGGGGTTATACCATGTATTGTTCATCATGAAACACACTCCCTTACCCTTAGATTTACTGGCACATGGCACATCTCATATGATGGGCAATGTCATTGGCTACATTAACTATAGTCGACTCTCCATCTTGACTTTTCCCGTTGCAGTATTGATATATGGCGGGGTTGGCATAAATTAAGTTATTTTAGGGAGTTTATGGAAGTTTTGCAAAAGATGCAGATGGGACATGAAGGCAAGCAGACTATAACTCATAAATGCATAAAAAGTATGTACAGTGCTAGTTTGGAGGACACCAAGTGTGTTTACAGCAGCCTCTTGTGATATCTCGCAGTGATCTTTGTATGTTGTGGTTCTCGTAACTTTTTGTACCATAAACTGTACTAAAATTCAAAATTCTTCACTCTCCAAGGGGGCCAAAGAATTTACACAGTTTTTCTAGATTGTTGGGGCCCTGCTGTCCTAACCCCTGCAATGTAGAAATGGTTGACCATCACCAAAGTCATATTAGGAAGACCTGTTCAATTTCTCATTAATGCAATTATCTAATCAACCAATCACATGGCAGTTGCTTCAATGCATTTAGGGGTGTGGTCCTGGTCAAGACAATCTCCTGAACTCCAAACTGAATGTCAGAATGGGAAAGGTGATTTAAGCAATTTTGAGCGTGGCATGGTTGTTGGTGCCAGATGGGCCGGTCTGCGTATTTCACAATCTGCTCAGTTACTGGGATTTTCACGCACAACCATTTCTAGGGTTTACAAAGAATGGTGTGCAAAGGGAAAAACATCCAGTATGCGGCAGTCCTGTGGGCGAAAATGCCTTGTTGATGCTAGAGGTCAGAGGAGAATGGGCCGACTGATTCAAGCTGATAGAAGAGCAACTTTGACTGAAATAACCACTCGTTACAACCGAGGTATGCAGCAAAGCATTTGTGAAGCCACAACACGCACAACCTTGAGGCGGATGGGCTACAACAGCGGAAGATCCCACCGGATACCACTCATCTCCACTACAAATAGGAAAAAGAGGCTACAATTTGCACGAGCTCACCAAAATTGGACAGTTGAAGACTGGAAAAATGTTGCCTGGTCTGATGAGTCTCGATTTCTGTTGAGACATTCAAATGGTAGAGTCAGAATTTGGCGTAAACAGAATGAGAACATGGATCCATCATGCCTTGTTACCACTGTGCAGGCTGGTGGTGGTGGTGTAATGGTGTGGGGGATGTTTTCTTGGCACACTTTAGGCCCCTTAGTGCCAATTGGGCATCGTTTAAATGCCACGGCCTACCTGAGCATTGTTTCTGACCATGTCCATCCCTTTATGACCACCATGTACCCATCCTCTGACGGCTACTTCCAGCAGGATAATGCTCGAATCATTTCAAATTGGTTTCTTGAACATGACAATGAGTTCACTGTACTAAAATGGCCCCCACAGTCACCAGATCTCAACCCAATAGAGCATCTTTGGGATGTGGTGGAACGGGAGCTTCGTGCCCTGGATGTGCATCCCACAAATCTCCATTAACTGCAAGATGCTATCCTATCAATATGGGCCAACATTTCTAAAGAATGCTTTCAGCACCTTGTTGAATCAATGCCACGTAGAATTAAGGCAGTTCTGAAGGCGAAAGGGGGTCAAACACCGTATTAGTATGGTGTTCCTAATAATCCTTTAGGTGAGTGTATTTCCTGTCTGATTTCCAAGATTTTTGGATTACCACTGGATTTGTTTCATTCATATAGATGCAAGTCTAAAATGGTTTTAGCTGCAGGGTAGAAGCTCATCAATCTTCAAAATATTGCTTGAGTACCTTTATGTAGGAAAGTAGAGGATGGATGGATAGGATAGGAAATATGTGGTCTTGAATAGGCTCTAAACTTAAGATTAATCACATTATCTTGGGTGATATAATTGATTACAGTATTTTACCTTGGAAATTTCGTACTTCTGATAGGATTGAGAAACCTTGCAATTACATTTGGTGATTTTTCTTTTTCTAAATTTTTTTTATAGGTGTTGTCTGTCAGCATATAAAATCTCCAACATCAGGGGAACAGGAGAAGAAAAGACTGCTGAAAAGACAACAATCTTCTCTCCATTCTGCCATAATTTGTAAAAAGTATGTATGGCCTCATTTTAAAAGAACTCCCATGTTTTAGTATTGCTTTCATGTGTGTCTGCAGTATGAGTAGCATAGCATGCTTTTTGGTATATTTATTTATTTATTTCCTCCCAACAGATCCTCTTTTCAGATGAATTCACCTCAGGAGATCTTGCACTGTCTGTCCAAAAAAATATCACCACTCAATTTCACTTTGGTTGAGATAAAAAAAGATGGAGTTTTAAAGGCTGCCCAACAGATTTTGAGACAGAATGACTTTGACCCACACCACACCATGACTGTGACTTTTCCTGGAGATAAACTGCACAGCGAGGATGTAGGTTCTGGGAACTTACGCCGGTTTTTAAGGCTTCTGGTGCAGGACTTGCAAAACTTGTCAGTCTTTCAGGGTCCTGAAAACAAGAAAAACTTAGCTTTGGATTCTCAAGGTAAAATATTGCTATACTTTTTTTTGGGGGGGCGGGGGGCAAAAGTAACTTAATGTCTTTATTAAGGGAGAGAACAATATCAATTTCATGAGTAATCATAATACTGGTTTTTGCTGATTCAGTAATGATTCATGAAATTCTGAAATCCATCTTGTTAATTTATGCTTTTTCTTCATGACTTTGAAAATATTTTTACAGAATTTTACTTAATACGGGGCAGGTTCAGGCTCATGGATCTCCAACAGACTTTACCACCTGACTTTACAAATGAGCTTTTCCAAAGTCTCGAAATGGCTTGTACATTGAGTGACCATGGCAAATATTCAATACTCACTTTTCCGACATTCCTACAGTAAAATCTCGTTATAACGGGCTTCAAGGGACCTGGCAAAACAGTCTGTTATGTTCAGAGTTGCTGTATGCCCAGAACACAACTACAGGACACATTTACTCATGCCACACCCCAGCAGACACATTTGTGGTATAGACTATTATATTGTACATATAGTAATCCAACTTTACCTGACCAGATGTGTGACTATTAATAATCCTGACTACGTATCTGTGCTGGATATCACCAGCTTGTAGGCGGAGCCTGCATGTCCATTATAGCTGAACAAAACTACAGCTTAAAGCGGCCCTGAGGACCAAATTGTTTGTCTGTTATAAGCAAAATTCCATTAAGTCCACTATAACGGGATTTTATTTTATTTTTACAAAAAACCAAGTCAGGATTTTTTTTCAGATGCACATTGACCATTTTTGTGTTTCTAGCTTAATAGCTATGACAAGAGGTGATCTCTGCTGTAACAAGATACTGGTTTAGCATTTTGAGTTGACAGCAATTCAACTCAATAGGAATACTTTTCTAGTGTGCATAAAATTGTACAACAAGCATGTTTACATTCAAGCTCAGTCTTGTTAGTTATGACCAGTATTCATCTGAAAAGCTGATTTGATGAACTCAGGTCTAGTCAGTGCTCACCCCCACTTTGGGTGAATGCTTTATTTATTTATTTATTTGATTGTCACATTTCTGACTAGCTAAGATTTGGAGGACTGTTTCAATAGGTTGTGTTCAACTTTGCTTTGCTTATTCTCTCTGCAGCTCTACGAGATGACCTGTACTTTGATGCAGGATGTACTCTGGCTCTAAGTCTTGTCCATGGGGGACCACCACCAAGGTTCTTCTCTAGAGCTTTGTACAAATGCCTTTTCAACTTTCCCAGCGATAGCCCCCTGACAGTGAGAGACATGGTGGACAACGTTTTAGCAGAAAAAGTGAAGAAGGTATGCAAAACAAGTCTGCAGTGCATCAGTTCTGATATTTATCTGTTTGAAATCGGCATACTTGTGATTTATTTAAATTTATTTAAAAATGTCCACATTTCTCCCCAGATAAGAGATGCCCGATCTTTAAAGGAATTAAAAGAGGCAGTCAGTTCCTCAACAGAATATCTGAAAGTAGCTGGATGTTTGAGACAAATGAATTGCCTTTCTGACAAACAGCAGCTAGTGGATGATATTGTGACCTTTCATTTTATAACAAGAATGCAATTGCCACTTCAAAGGTTAGTACAAAAGATATTTTCTAAATGTGTGTTTAATTGTAATGGAGAAATATCAGTTTTATTCATTCAGATCATCTGAGAATTTTTTCATGTTTTTTTGGAGTAAAACTACTGAAGGTGGTGAATCTGTAAAAATACAATGAGAAGATTTTAAATTTAATCCTGTTACCATTCATCTGCGATCACTGTATTCATCAAGATGAAGGTTTTCTTGGGAAGCTGATGTTCTTTTGAATTTGAACTTTGAGGTGCTCAAGGTAGGAAACGATTAGGCTTGGGCGGTGTCTGTTTTTCGTCACATATTGTCACACCTTCTACACATTTCACACTGGTATACAGTATTGGACTGTATTTTGAAAAAATGTAAATCATGTAGGCTACTGTAAACTCTAGAGTCAAAGAGAGCCTAGATGGGCCCATCATTGTGGAAGTTGAGCACTAGGGGAACGAGGAGACAACTAATTGAAAAGATTGTTTGACACCTCTGTCATTGGCCGATTTGCAGCCACATCCACACTAGGTTTCACGTATGCCACACATACTCCAACAGTTTACAGTGTGTACATGGCATATTTCGTTTTTGTGGTATGAACCTTTACTTGTGCATTCTTGGACTTTTTAATTTTATTTTTTATTTCATGCAGTACAAAACATTGTCTCAATATAGCATCTCCGTATCTGTTTAATAGAAAGAGAAGTGTCTATATTTTTGACAGTATTAAAAGTAATGCCTTTGAATTTCTAAATATCAAAGCCATGATACTGTCATACTGCCCAAGCCTAGAAGCTGCTTGATTCACATAATGCTAACGATTTTATTTTGTGTTTTAGATTTCGTGAGGGTCTGAATACTTTGGGTCTCTTTGAACAAATCCAAATGTTCCCTGGACCGTTCTGTGATCTGTTTTGCTCCTCACCTGAAAAGATGTCAGCTGGTACAATGGATAGCCTTTTCTCTGTCCAGTTCTCTGTTAATGAGGAGAAGAAAAAGAAAGAAAGAACAGTAGTGGGTTTCTGGAGGCAGTACTTGCATGAATGTGAAGGTACGATATATGAAACGTTTTAGATGTTCTAATTTCAAGGCCCTATTATACTAATTTTCACTGTTCATAATTTTATTTTGTGGTGTACTGGAATAGATTTATATGCTTCAGCATTACAAATCATTCTTTTTCATACTGTACATCTCTATTCACTCTGTTTATAAACAGTGAAATATACAGATTTGAGCTTTTAGCCTCACCTCCAGTGAACCCAGTGTTAGAAAAGATTAGAAAAGTGTGTTTTCTGTAGTTCTGATGAGTTACTCCTTTTGGTGTATGTACTTTTGGGCCTTAAAACTCTGCAGACCATTTACATGCATATAAAGCTATTTGACACACTACAGGGGACAGGGGAAAACTGAAAAGCATAATGGAGCCCCTTTAAATTCCTTCAATGACTCCTTCCCGTATGAAACAAGTATGTTTGATGTCAAGGTCTTGTTTTTTAATAGCCCATGTTGACTTATTGTCTTTCAGAGGGCAGGTGTGCAACAACATTAGAGGATATCCTCATTTTTTCTACTTCAGCAGATGCGGTCCCTGCAGTAGGATTTAATCCTGCCCCCAGTCTTTCATTTCTACACCCACAGATCTCTGTAGGTGTGTTTCCTGAACGCCACCCTAGCTGCAACCACATTGTGCTTCCTGTGCTCACCTCGTATGAGATCTTTAAGAAACACATGGAGTATGCAGTATGTCAGCTTACGATGATGCAGACTCTATAATATTTTTGTTACTAAACAATGTGAAGGGTCATCCTATGTTAGAATTCACAATTTTTTTTAATTCATCTGCAATCTTAAGGATATGGAATACAGTCATTTTCATACTGACCATGCAGCGAGCCCTTTGTTTTTTTCAGCATTAATTTCTATAAACACCGAACTCACTGAGCTTTAATATAAAAAAAAAAATCACCTGATTTTTATTCTTGTGGGTGTATGGTATATTTATACATGTGTTCATTTACATTGTAGTGTTACATATATATAACCACATGTTGAGTAGAATTTCTATTAATTACCAGTTAGATATATATTTGTAGATTATTGAAATGGTATCAAGAAATGTACAGTCTAGTCTTTCCCGATTATTTTTACAATGTTAGTCATTGTTTTTTTCTGTTTTATTGGGCAAATAATTTTCCAGAAGGTTGCAAATGTATATTTCTGAAATGCAATATAAATGACTTATAAAGATAATCTGTGTTACTGCTAGTTTGTTTTGTTTTTATCTTAATATCACACTATAGTTTGTTGAGAATAGGTGTAATGGACAAAGTTTCATTCAATTAGTCAGTCTGCTGATGGCACTTTACAGATGACTTGCATCCAAACTGAGGATATCTACTAGGCCTGTTTTATTTATGCTATATGAGGTATGGTTTTTCACATATATTATGCATGCAATAATGCTGTTAGTTTCTGTGTGGATTTTTTTTAAATTTTGCTTTGTTTTATTGATAATGCTGCACATCCCTCAGTGTTTTGTGTTTTTATACTAATTAAATATGAGGGTTTTGAGAGGACTGATTTTAATTTTAGTGATCTAGCTTCCCATTGCTCTGTTGTAAGACGTTCATGTGAAGTAGCAGCTCTGTTCTTAGTGTCTGAAGAAACTACCATCTAGTATAGGTCTAGTGGAAGTGTAATTCTTTAGGGATTGCAGTATTTGCCCCTTCCTGCTACTTTATTAATTGCTTTAATCTTGCTATTAACATCCGAATATAAATTCATCTAGTGTAAATCTGTTTGTAATTTAAAGTTAACTCTCCAACCTCTAGACCATTTTACTCCTTTTCAGGAGAATGTTCTGCATGCCTGGTTTAGAAGCTACAGTGAGTTTTCCTCTATTCTGATTTTAGAGTGGGGTGGGAATGGCATAAGAGTGCTAGCTGCTGAAACTGTAAGAACACAGTATAACAGTTATTTTTAAATAATTATTAAAAACAAAACGTTAAAAGCAAGTGCATTGTTGGTGCTTTTTTTCCTGCTGTATTACTGCACTATGGAATTTACATCTAATGTAATATTAGTAGTAGTAAAATTTTTGGTAGACTCCTTTGTAACCATTGCTTACTCATCCTTTTTGCACGTGTAGTATTTAAACTTTAAAGTATTCTCATTTTATATTTTTATCTGATTTGCTGGATTGTAATGGGTTAACTTTTGATATGAAAATTGTGTGTTTGGAAATGGATAATGGATAAATATCATGTAAGCTTAGTTTTGAGATAAAAATTAACTAGAATCTTTCCTGAATTTTAAAATTGAAGTGAATCTTCCTTCTTTGTAAGAGGCCTGATGAAATTATTTTGTGAATAGTTTAGTCCAGTATTTCCCACCCAGTCCTTTGAGACCCCCAATCATTTCACGTTTTTGCTGTTTCCCAGTTCCCAACACACTCGTGCCAGGTATTTGGGAATCTTGATTGGCTGGAAAATGGCCAGGAGCAAAAATGTGGATTGTCTTGGGGTCCCAGAGAACGGTGCTGGGTAACACTGACCTAGTTTGTACACATCTACCGATCCAAGGATCTTCATAGCATTTCACCTGGTGCGGGCCACAGTGGCTATGATCTCATGTTCTTTGTTACTGGTGAGCGAGATCTGAAAGTACTTAAACACAGTCACTACAGCTAGACCCCTGCTCCCCCACCACTACCTGAAAGGAACATTATACTCTTTTTCCTAGAGTTCCACAGTTTTGGGTTTGGAGGTGCTGGTTTTCATCCTGTAACTTGGCATCAAACTGCTCGAGAGTCGGTGTTGTCAAAGGCCCACACCTACTCCAACCTTAACTTTGTGGTCTCAACTCAACTTTGCCAGTCCCCACTACAGCACGTTAACATTGGCTTGTAGAAGAAAGCTGAGAAGGGTGATTTTCCCTGTAATTAATTTCCACCCCATGTTCCCTCTTTTTCCTAAAATAAGAAGTGCCTACTTTCATTACCCCCAACATCTTCATCTACCCTTGTAAGCATTGAAGTTTCTGACCAAAAAACAGGGTTCCCATGTGTCCCGGAAGACGTGGAAAAAAGTCAACCCATTTTCCAGTCTTGGAAGACACATGCAAGCAGAAAAAGTAAAGTGTCCTGGAAAATCTTGTACTGTCCTAGAAAAATAATCCAGCAAACGAATAATATTGCTATATGAAGTTTTGAATATGTGAATTGCTTTCGGCCAGAATGAGGCTGCAACCGCGAAGTGAGCATCACAGTAACAATCAGAGCCCCTATGGAGTTCTCTGGATGTAACCATAATTCAAGAGGCTGAAACTCAAAGTAATGTAAGTTATCTTTCAAATTCAAATAACCACTGCTGGCTAGTATCAGGTAGTTTTTATTGGTTTTACAGATAGATGTTTAAAATGAAACATGGATTATGGTTAACCTTTTTCATGTATATATTTAAAAAAAAGAACAGTGGTCTCCAGCTCCGGTCCTGGAGAGTTACCATCCAGTAGGTTTTCTATCTTACCTGGCTTCTGATGAGCCACACCTGTTCTCAGGTAAATACCAGGAGCAGGTGTGGCTCATCAGAAGCCAGGTAGGATAGAAAACCTGCTGGACAGTAGCTCCCCAGGACCAGAGTTGGAGACCACTGTTCTTTTTTTTAAATATATACATGAAAAAGGTTAACCATAATCCATGTTTCATTTTAAACATCTATCTGTAAAACCAATAAAAACTACCTGATACTAGCCAGCAGTGGTTATTTGAATTTGAAAGATAACTTACATTACTTTGAGTTTCAGCCTCTTGAATTATGGTTACATCCATAATGTAACAAGAGAAAGCAAGTGTTACCCAGAACATTGCTTTGACTTGGATGTATTAAAGTTAAATGCTCTACATTTCTGTTTGCTTTATTCTTAATATCTGAGATGATTTCCTAGAGAAGTTATTTCAGCCATAGAATGCACAGCTTTTAAATAAGACTTCCACAGTGAGAAATATTGGTGTATGGCACAACCCCAGTCTGTCATACTGGCTAGCCTAAATCATCAATTAAAATGTACTGGAAAATGATCCGTAGAAAAGAGTGGGATCCCTCAGTCATTGTGATGTCACAGATCAATGAAGTTGAATCGCCACCTTAATCAATTCACCACAATGCATTTTCACACCCCTAGAAAATACATTTATTGTGGGGTTAGTATTCCAAAAAATGAATTCAGAATATCCTTTGCTATACGTAAGGTTGTTCAGAGGATGCTGATGTTTTGGAATTACTGTTGTACCCTTAGTCAAAAGTATCATGGTATACCATGACATAGAATCTAAAATGGTTATATAGTTTATGCTGTTATATATCGTGGTTTAAATGATGATGTGACAACACGTTAATGATTGGTGCTAGTGATGTTAGTAGTGTATTGTGAACTCTACAACAAAAAGAACATGTTTAGTCATATGGACACATTTTAAATTCAATAAAATATGCTTTTTAGAGCATTTGGAGATGCTCATAATAACCAGAACAGGCAACACATCAAACCTTATACACCTTCCATCACATTACGCCACAATGCAAAATGTAAGTTGTCCTTAGGCAAGTAACCAAGTAACAGGCTTCTCAGTTTCAATTAATTAGTCGATACAGATAAATCTGGCCCGCCAACAGAGTAAAGGTTTTAAAAGTTGTGGGTCATATAGAAACAAGGGGCTTGTAGGAATGATACTTTGAGTCACCTGTGCTAAGAGAATGCATAGAGTAACAGTTATACAAGCCACGTCAGTGGTTGTTGTGCAAGTAAAAAAAAAAATACACAATATATTTCATGTGAATGAAATACACAAAAAAAAAATCTAAATTTTATAATGAGAATCTTCCAGTTTCAATACAGAAGTGCAGAGGATGGTCAAAATTCTCAGATGTTTTTGCCCCACCCCAAATATCAAGGATTCATCAGTTGCATCCTCACCAACCGATACCAATCCCATGATGCATTACACTCCAGGTTCATTCTTGGGAATCAAGTTAGCAAGACAACTTCTGCCAAGATGACGGGTACAATCTTCGCATTCCTGGTATTGAGAAACACCATGCGATAGAGCTTTAAGCCTCACCTCTGATGAGCCCAGTATGCTCTGATTGGTCAGCTTGCCTGAATTATGTTTGCCCTACACACTCCATTCCTGTCTTACAGTCTGTAGACAGATTCTTGCAGGTAGGTAGCCAATAAGGACTGTTATGCGATGAAGTAAGGGCTGGAATTTCAGGCAGATTGGAGAACAGTGGTTTCTGTGATGTTACTCCCTTTGGCATGTACCATAGACCTTTAGACTTTGCAGACCATTTACATGCACATAAAATATGTAAGAAATATCAAATGAATTGATTGAAACAAGTGCATTTCATGGTTGGAAAAATATTAACAATATTTCCCAAATAAAACAAAAATTATGAAAGCCAGGGTATTTAAGGTTAGATATCTGTTAATCACTATCCATTACAAGTAAACTGAAAATAACTGATTAAACTGAATTTAACTCAGGTATTGCACAGTTTGGGTTAAGTCCCCTGAAGTAATAAATATAACAATTTTAATGAATTTTGTATTTGTGAATGTTTGCAAAGTTTTATGAATGACTCAATTTCAGTTTATTTCTTACAGCCATGATTTGAACTTGGTACAGGAAATACAGATCTATGTTTTTCTCATAATGTATTCCAGCAAGTGTGTAGCAGCAATCATATACTTATGACATAACACTTGTCTTTCAACACATTCACAGGGATGTCCTGACACCATTATTCTCAGTTAGGTTAACGGAATTGAAAATTTAATATTAAGCAGTGTATAACTATGTGCAATATTATATTTTAAACCCATGGCATGGTTATTAGGCAGACAGACATTTTGCATAATTCAGTCATGCTTAGGTTCTTGGAAAGAGAGAGAAAAAAAATAAAAGAACACATTGGAAATGCATGTGAAATAGGATTATGCAATCAAGGAACAAAGATAGAGCCTCTGTATTACAGGATTTTAAGTCTTCTATTATCTGTGCTTCACAAATGCTCCTTTTTTAAAGAGCTGTTCATGGCTAATGGATTATATGATTTCCTATTGAGCATATTGAATAGGAAATTGAGAACAAATCGAAATTCAGCTAATTATGTTGGTCAAGGTTTGTCCCAGATATAATTATACACAGATTCTGCAGTTGCTCCCCTTCTAAAAAGCAACCTATATAGCAAGCCACAGACTAAACACACAAACACTAGTTACCGTGGTATACAGATTTGATGAGAATATAATAGTATTCATAGTTCATTCAAAACAAAATGAATCATGTCATCCACCTTCCTCCAAAAAGCAGAAAGCAAATAGCACAAAATTTATGATCATGTATTTTAAAAATATATCAAAATATAAAAATATTCATTATGTATATGTGTAAAATAGACTTTCCCCGAATAAGAAATTCCAATATTGTTTAAACAGTAGAACTGTCATTTCTAATAATGAAACAAAGAAAATCCATTCAGATCAATTCAAATTATTATGCTGCATTATCATATGAATGATTTCATTGTAATGCAAAAACATCTTGTTAGGCTCAGACACCTTACAGTTTCCTTGAACTCTCCAAAGACTGTGACAATAATGCAGATGCTCCAGACAGGTTTTCTACTCATTTTTATTTTGTCATAATTGAAAGTGTAGTGTGAAAGCTCAAAAATACCCAAAACTACACTTTGCCAGGCAAATGCATACTGATAAATAGCAGGCTATATGAAAACCATATATTTTATTTTAACTCCATTAAGCTTTTTATATATATATATATATATATATATATACACACACACACACACACACACACATATATATATATATATATATATATATATATAGAGAGAGAGAGAGAGAGAGAGATTGAGAGTGCAAAATCAGTAAAAGACATAAGACATTAAGAATTTTGGTAAAGTAGTTCTTTACCACAGTTTAAATAGTA